TAACCCTATCTTTTAAATTAATTTAAATTAATTAATTTAACACATATCACAGTGCCACGTCAACAAAAAATGTACACCTCATCAGTTTTCTTCCACCTGGGCAGCTGTGCCGTTAGTTTTTTAACGCCGTAACCAAAAAGGACTAACTTGCACCGTTTTTGCGAAAAGTGGGATCTTAGTGAACTTTTGAAAAAACGTAGGACCAATTTGAACAGACCCTACGAAAAGTGGAACCAAAATACGAATTAAACCTTAGACAAAATATCAAAGAAATCATAAATTTAACCCAAGAACATATTTATAATGCAATGCGAGAAGTACAATGCGGGGTTTCTCATGGATAGTGAGACAGCAGGCACTAGAACTATGTAATGGGCCATCATTGGGCTTGGCCACAATTTGCTGTGAAAGACAAGTCTCCACTAACATACTGCTCCTCTGTCATCACATACCAGAACCGCAACACCGCAAGAGCACCACTATTTATGATAGGAATCTTAAAACTTTTTTTTTATAATTTCAGGATGATTACTTACAGCTTTTATTCTGATCTAAATATAAATAAAGATAAGGCACCACCATAGTCTACATTCAATCATTATCCTCTCAAAGTTAGCCTGCAATCTCGATTCATACATGAATTCTAAATAAATTTATCAACATAAAATAACATAGCGTGGCAACACTTACTTAACCGTGATGTTTACACTCCAAAATCATAATCGTCTAATGAATAGTGCAAGATACCGTCTTATAGAGCAATCCAATTTTCAGAGGGTTCGAAAGAAGAGTGAAAAGCCTTACCTGCCATCGTAAACAGCGTCGAATACGAAGGAAATGAGATGATGGTCGGGGTTTTCCTGGTCAACCTCGAGGCGCAGGGTGTCTTTGTGGACGTTCACATAATTTCTTATCTTCTTCGCAGCCTGGTGATCGACATAGGGCGGAGGAGTAGAGGCAGAGGAGCGAGTTGCGCCTGGCCACGCGCAAATCTGAGGGTGGTAGAAAAGTTGGTAGTGAAGGTGACTGGGGACGGAATTGGCGTAGTTGGGATAGACACTCTGGTTGTGGTAATACGGCGGCGGCGGCTGTGGCAGTGGAGCGAAGGGAGGAGGAGCGGCATAGTTGTTGCAGTGCGGGGCATAAGTGGTTGTGGAAGGGAGGAAGTAGCCCTGCGGTGGCTGCGGAGGAGGGGGGTGGTTGGATTGGGGATGGTAATAGTAAGGGGGAGGTGGGAATGGAGGCGGTGGATTTTGGATGTAATTGTTTCTTCTTCTGCCACTCCATGAGATACCCATGAGAGTGGTTGAATTCAGAATCAGAAACAATGAATGATGATGAAACAGAGCTCCGAATCGAATGAATGCGTGTTGTCCTGGAAATTAAGTCGAACCCACTCTTTTGTGCTCCTTTCCCTTTACACGGTTTTCTGTAGTTTTCTTTTTTCCCTTTACTTTGCTTCGTTCATTCTATCCTTAACCTTAACCTAACACTCGCTTCATAAAGTCCACCCTCCTTCCTCACAATAATGTCATCTGAGGAAACTCATACGTCAGAGGAAAATTACTCGAAAAATACATACACGTAATATTTACTTTTATATGTCACATATTATATAAAATATATAATATTAAAAAAAAATTATACAGAAATAAATTTGCAAGAATAGTTCCAAAAGATTACGTGGAAAATTAATTTGTTTATAATATGAGAAAACTTATAACCATCCGTGTTTGTATCAGTTGTTTTTAAGTTCAAACCGTGGGTATTTTAATTTTGTAAATAATAAAACGGTTTATTTAAAAATGGCGTCAAAAATAAAATTGTTTAATTTAAAAGATTAAATGACGTAATTTTTACTTTATTAACCAATCAAATATATATCTTTTATCAGATAACAATATAACCAAGTGTAATATTATCAAAAACAATATAATTTATTTGTGAATATAAGATCAAACTCAATAATCTAATGTTAAATATGTTGTTAAAGGTTCAAAAGTTGTCTAAATATCCTAAATCAGTTGTTTAAATCATTTAGAGAATATTTGCATAATGAACTTTCATACCAAATTACTTCAAAGTTTGACATTTAAATTATTAATGTAGTAAATATATTTTTACTTTCACCTTTTAGTTGGTAAGTATTAAAGCTAATTATCTTTAGTTGGTAAGTATTAAATATCAGTTAACCGTTTATGACTGACCAGATACATACTATATACAATTTAATATTTAATACTTAATTTTAAATTATTAAATAGATATATATAATTCTATAAGAGTTAATTGATAATATGTTTAATGTTTTCGTGTATTATTTGCAATTACAATTTTAGTCAACAGTAAATAAGTTGTTTAAATAGTTTTCATTATTTCTTTAGGGACAATTTTTTATAAAGTCGTTTAAATTTGATGTCAGTAATAAATTATAACATTTTGTGTTAGTCAATGAACTTGTGTGGTCGTGTTTTCGTTTAGAATTGTTTTCCTAAACTTTTATTGTTAAATTAAATCTTAAAAATCTAGAGTAAGTATTAATAATTAAAAATACATTGCATCACGATATAGTTATCATTGAAAACAAATATAATTTGTGTCTAAAATGATACTAAAAGGCAGGATTATATAAAAAATTATTAACCTTTTAATATTAGAAGAGACCATGTGTAAAATATAACAAGTATAATTAAATGGGACACACAAAGTTGTCATTTACCATGAGAAAAATCACCAGTGAATGGGCTCGTATTATTAATTATGAAAAGGATACTCTAAAATTACATCTCAAAATTATAAGACATTGTTTATACATCTCAAAAGCACATAACGTTTACTGGGTGACTCAATTAATTAAGTCAATAGTTTTAAAAAAATAAAAACAAAAATTATTATTTGATTTAAAAATAATTAGTAAATCAGTCTAAATTGAAAGAGAAATCTATTTATTGGATACAAAATTTATATTTGAAAAAAAATATTATAAATTTTATTTAATAATGTAAGACAAATCATCACATGTTCAAAAACATTAGCTTGTCAACATCATACAATAGATTAAATTTTGTGATTGAGAAAAAAAAAATTTGTTCAAATTATCAAATTGGTATTCTCTGCTTAATACTTGGTCTGAAAAACAATTTTCAATGTAAGAGTGCATACTAACTTTCTCAAATTATCAAATTTTAAAATTCTTAATTCAACACCAATTCAATCAATTATAAACAACACACAATCATTTAACAGAGACGAATTTTGAATGTGTTTAAAAATCAATATTAGCAATTCAACTAATTTCATGCAATATAAACATGCAAACTCATATTCTCAACTTTAAAACAAGGTAATTAACCTTTCTCACATGAAAGATGATAAAAAAGTTATAGAAACTTAAAACAATTTCAAATGCACAAAAAACCTTATCTATTCATTTGAACAACAAAAAAATAAGTAAGACACACTAATTAGTAGATAGTCTTATAAAAGACTTAAACCTCTTATAAAAGACTTAAACCTCATGCAAACAAAATCTAGTTCATATACATAAAAAAAATATAGACCAATAAAAAATGACAAAAATCAACTTAGCACAAACTAGTTAAATATATACAATGAACTCACCTAAGATTACTTTATGATCTTCGATCTTTAAAAAAATAGAAAGATAATTATAAAGTTTAGAAAGAATAAAAATCTTAAAAAAAAGTTTAGATAAATAATATAAGATAATAAAAATATTTATAAAAACTATATTTATATCTTAAACTTTTATTATTAAAATAATCGATTTTTATCATTTTATATTCACTGTGTGTGAATTCTAAAATATAACTTTATAGTTTCTTACACTTAGCCATCTTTAAATAAAAGTGAAAAACGAGAATAAATATGGTTTTTTAGTGAATAATATGTAATTACAATGTACATTGAAATAATTTTGTGTTACTTTTTCAAAAAAATCCTTTGAAATTATTATAAAAATTTTGGTAAAAAAATGACAAGCAATATTTCATATATCTTTTCCTACTAAAAAAGAAAGTCTCACTGGATTTTTCAATAGATTTGTTCTCCGAATAAATATATATTTCTGGATTGAAAGTGCTTCCTTTGGATTACTATCTTTAATTTAGTGATAGGTCTTCTGGTTAACAAGAAATTAAAAAGAATTACATAATTAAGTTTCATTTGTTTAAATTTTTTTATATTTTTAATTGAATATCTATTAAAAAAATAATTAATAATTGTCCACTGTTATTCTTACAAAAATATTTAATAATTGTCCAATGTAATTGTTACATTTGGTTATCATTGCTTGTATGTTTATATATAGAATCATAAAATTAAGTTTTAAGTTTAAGTCAACATTTGTAACTGGCTTTGTATAAAAAAGTTTAATTCTTTCGAGGTATAAAATTTTATATTTTTGGAGTTATTCCTGTTTAATTTTATTGTCAGTGAAATAATACGAGCATAATAATACAAATAAATATCTGAAATTTTAATTACTTTTGTAAAGATAATATTATTTTGTTTTTTAAAATTAAATATTAAAACAAAAATAATTTGAATACATAAAACATGTGGTTTGATAAACATAGAATTCATTTCCTTATTAAACAGTTTGTAACAGTATGTTTAATAATAATAAAAAAATAAAATGATGACGTCTTGTCAATTAATTGTAATAATTTAATTTAGAAATATAAAAAATGTAGATACTTACAACAATTTTTTTAATAAAAATTAATTAAAACTAAAATTTAGCTATATTATATTTTTTTATGTAAAAAAAATATCAAAATGGTGTTGAAAGATAATAATAATAAAGACAACAATGTCACTTCACTCTTCTACAAAGTCAAACCAATTTAAACAATATAAAAATTCTGGACACAATACAATCAAATTAAAAATATCTAAATATATGAAGAATTAAAATTTGATTAAGCCAAAATAATAACAATGATATGCATCTATTTTTCAGTTAATTTTGCTTGTGCTTGTGATTTTCCTTAGAAGACATCGGAAGGAGAGTGGACCTGATCAAACGATTATTAGGTTTAGGAGAGAATGAATGAAAAGTAAAAAGGGAAAGTGGAAAACTATAGAAATCCGTGGAAAGAACAAAGAACACAAAAGGTTGGTTCAACATAATTTCCCGCACAACACGCGTTCGTTCCATTGGGAGCTCTGTTTCATCATCATCATCTCACTGCTTCTGATTCTGAATTCAACCACTCTCATGGGTATCTCATGGAGTAGCAGAAGAAGAAACAATTACATCCAAAACACACCGCCTCCACTCCCACCTCCCCTTTACTATTACCGTCCCCAATTCAACCACCCTCCTCCTCAGCTGCCACCGCAGGGCTACTTTCAACCTTCCACAACCACTTACTCCCCCCACAACAACAACAACTATGCTGCTCCCCCTCCCTTGGTTCCACCGCCACAGACGCCACAGCCGCCACCGCCGCCGCAGACTCATTCCATCTCCTTCTATCACCCCAACCAGAGTGCCTATACCAACTACGCCAATTCCGCGCCCAATCGCCATCACTACCCACCTTCATACCACTCTCAGCCTACCCTGTTGCCGGCCGCCACTCGCGCCTCTGCCTCCACTCCTCCACCCTATGTCGATCACCAGACTGCGAAGAAGATACGAAACTATGTTAACGTCCACAAAGACACCCTGCGCCTCGAGGTTGACCAGGAAAACCCCGATCATCATCTCATTTCCTTCGTTTTCGATGCTGTCTACGATGGCAGGTAAGGCTTTTCACTCTTCTTTCCGAACTCTCTGAAAATTGGATTTGTTTCATCGTTAATTAAGTTTTGCTGCGCTGTCTTTGTGGATCTTTTTGTTTACAATTCATGTATGAGTTGATATTGCACGATAACTTCAGGAGGATGCCGATCGAATACCTACTATAGTGGTATCATGTCTTTATTTATTTTTAAAATCAGAATAGAAATTGTAATTAATTGTCCTGAAATTAGAAGAAAGAAACTTGTAATATTCCTATCATCAGGAGTGGCGATCTTGTGGTGTTGCAGTGTCCGGGTGTGATGATAGAAGAGCAGTAGATTAGTGGAGAGTTTGTCTTTCACAGCAAATTGTGTCCAAGCCCAATGGTTGCCCATTTCATGGTTCTAGTGCCTGTTGTCTCACTATCCTTGAGAAACCCCGCAAAGTATCTTTTGTTTGACTAGGCCTCACAATTTGTGGCCCTTAATTAAGTCATTTATTCTATGTCTTTTAATGAGGCTGTGCTCAGATTTAACTCTAGTCTTAATGCCTTGAGTATAGGTAGGAGTTTCTTGTTATTGTCTTTAACGTGCCAAAAATATGTTGGACAAATTTTTAACCTGAATGAAGTTTGCAACAGTTTCAACGTGGTTTTCTAAGCAAGAACTCCAATTGGTGTTCCAGTTTGAGTAATTTCAAAATTTTGAATCACATTGGAAGACTTAGAGAGTAACAAATTGGTAGGAAATTTCACCTGGACAACAGCTTTTCCTTCCTGCATGTGTTCATGGGTTAAATTTATGATTTCTTTGATACTTTTAATGTCTAATTATTTGAAATGAATTTTGTAAGATGCGAAAATTAAAGATTGACTGAGTACTGCATAATACTGCACATTTTATGAAATATTTTAACTTTTCTAATTCTCTGCTCCTTATTATTGTGATTGGTAGCATTACTGTCTCCTACTTTGCCAAAGAAGAAGAAAAATGTAGGTTTGTTCCATTATTTCCTGATGCATTTCAGCCAGTCACAATACCCTTTCAGAAAGGAGCCGGCCAGACATTTTCCCAGCCTTCGGGAACAGGAATTGACCTAGGCTTCTTTGAGTTGGATGATCTTTCAAAGTCCTCACCTGGAGAAGATGTGTTTCCTCTAGTAATATGTGCCGAAACAAGTTTGAAAACACCCTCGGAAGATGAAACTCCGGGTGATTCTGTTGTAGATACATCACCTCACATGCAAATAACTCAAGGTGTCTTGGAGAAAAGTAATGGTGCTGGTTCTTTCCATATAAAAGTGGTAAGGCAGATTTTGTGGATTGATGGTGTTAGATATGAGTTGAGAGAGTTATATGGAATAGCAAGCTCACCTGCAGCTGATTTTGACGACAATGATCCCGGGAAGGAGTGTGTCATATGCATGACTGAACCAAAGGATACAGCTGTCTTACCTTGTCGACATATGGTAAGATTTCATTTCAAATGTGCCTATATTTGGAGTAAATAATTTTAGAGGAAGAAATTAAGGTTCTAGCTTTAGTATTGGTTCATGCAAATACTAAAAGTTATGGTTCAAACAGATACATAGCCCTGGATAATAGCATTATTTGTATTTGCACGAGATCGCTTGTGGAAGTTAAGAGATCATGGGAATTATATTAGTCATGCTTCATTCGGATTTATAGGCCTAAAAGCGTAGGTAGTATTTGCATGAGATTGCTCGGGGAAAACCGAGCTCATTGTTAGTATTTCTAATAGGAACTAAATTGTTATATATATTAGTTTTATTGCAAAAGTTAAAATTTGATTTGAACGTTTGATTTAGAACGTTGGAAATTAATTAGCAACAGGAAGAAAGTTGAGCGACGTTCAATTCCAACTTTAAAAATCTTTATGATTTTTAATTTCTTTTATTTAATTGATTCTTCCCTAGCTCTATAAATAGAGAGTCTTTCCCCCATTCCAAAACACACCTAAATCAGTCTTCTCTCTTTCTTCTTTTTCCTTTTCCTCTTCTAAAATTATTCTGGATTATTTTTATACTCCTTTGAGAGATCCTTGCTAGTTCTGAGATCCTCAGAAATTCTGAGAAGTTCCTGTTGTATCTTGAGGGCCTTGCGCAATACACCGCGGATAAGTTCTTAAGGATAGTGACTCTACACGTCTCAGGAAATACTGTTTGGTCAGCTATTTACAACAACTAATGTGTGTTTTGTGGTCCTCATTTTTTCAGTTTTTTTTTTTCTTCCTCTTCCGCCTTCCCATGTTTTTGTTATCAAGGCTGTGAGATGTCTTGTGATTGATCAAAATATCAGCACTTACACATATAGTGTGGGTGAAATGACTATATAGTGTTTTTGTTTCTTCCTTACTAGTAGCAGTAAATGTACTAATTTCTTGGGCAGTAAAATCCTTGCTGTTAGTAGCAATAGAACATCGTTCTAGTGTATTTTATTTTACATAATAACTTAGTTTGGACTACTTTTACTAACTGATGAACGTTTTCAATTGTCAAACCCTGTTTTTTCTTCATCAGCGTAGCATGATATCATTAGAGTTTAGAAACATATCGGTACAACTCACTAGTTATGAATTTAACTATATATTTATATTCTAATTAGTTGTGAATTTAACTATATATTTATATTCTAATTTAACACTTTGCAGCGCAGCCAAAATAACGTTTATTTAATAAGGGGTGCCCCAGCCTTTCTTCAGGATTAGCACCAACATATTTTTTTCACCCATGCCTGCATCATTTGTCAGAATGTATATTTTCGTATTGATTATTCTCATATGACTTCTGTTGTGTTTTTCCAGTGTATGTGCGGTGACTGTGCAAAAGATTTGCGACTTCAATCCAATAAATGCCCTATATGCCGTCAGCCTATCGAGGAACTTATACAGATCAAAGTAAACAATGACAATCAATGAGATTTTTCTTCTGATGCCAAGTTGCAGGGTATTATCAATAAATTCCTTTTAAGAAATTCCCCCTTTTTTTCAAGTTTGCAGTAAGGTAGTATATATCAATTTCTTTCTTTTTTTTTTTTTTAAATTTAGTCAATAATCTGTTTATAGTTATTGTGATGTGTTCATGGGAAAATTAGATCTTTCGTGATTGAAGGCGTCGTCCCGTGTCATCTATATTGTACAGGCGATCATTTTTCTGTAGTTTGTCTTGATGGTGTTTATTGTCTAGAGTTATCCATGAATAAGGGAGAAATGAGATAATACCTTGGTTGGTCCATTCTGAATCTTTGAAAGTTATTACATATTTAAACATGTATAGTGGATGTTTGAAACTTATTATTGCTGTGATTTATGTGATGTACCATATTTTGTTTTAATGGGGCCTAGAAGATACTAGGTGTTGGATGTTAAGTAGAATAAGATGGTTTTCAAATAATCACACAGAACAGAAAACCCAAATAGGATCTAGAAATCAATTATTCTCTCAAATGATAGATGAAGAATATCTTTACCTTCATAGTGAGCCTACTTGTAGGATTTATTTTTTTCTTTAAGAAAAAAAAGAAGAAGATAACAATTACCATTAGATATTGTTTATATTTGAAACTATAGTTATTTTGTAGATAGATATTTTAAAAATATGTTTATGTTATGATCTTGCTTCATTAAACCCTTTAAAACTTTTAATCCTATCAAATAACAATTATATTTAGAAACGGTTCTATTTTAATTCATTTATAATTTATTTTTCAATTATTTATTTGTCAATGTTTAAATAAGTCAGATGTCTCTTGAAACATTAAAACTTAAATGTTCTTCCTTATTAGCCTATGGCATATTGTGTCTGGATTTATGTTTAAAAGTTGCTAAATAGACTTTACAACATCCTAATGCATTAAAGAGAGAAGTGGTTTATTGAATTATTGATAATATCATTTTTATTTTATTTTTGTCAAACAAATTAATAAACATTGATCGAGTGGTTACATGTGTACAAGGATGAGATAAAGTTTGTATCCATTGGGTATAATGAGTATTATATATGTTTTCACTTTAAAAATAGAAATTAGTTACATTGACGTTATAATTTTAAAAAATAACAAATTAATAAGATATATTTATATTATATAAGTGAATAAAAATTTTATTATATAAATTAATTTTGTAAAGATTAATTTAGATTTAAAGTTTATTTTTTAACATAATATTATAGTTATGAGTTTGAAATTATTTTAGCAATATTTGTTATTTATTGAAATTATCGTGTATTATTAAATTATTTATTAATATGTAGTTCTAAATTTGAGATATATATACATATTGAAAATTTCATATATAAATTTCAACTGTTTTGTAGATTAAATTAAATTTGCTACAATTTTTTAACAAATTTTAAAGTAATTATAATTATACATCTGTATCTTTAAATAATTTGATAAATTGGACACATTTAAAGATATGTAATTTTATGTCCATAATTAATTAACTTTCCACTATATTGTTTAACAAATGAAGATAATTTCTAGATAATTTTAACCAAGGCAATATTTCATAGATCTCTTGACTTGAGTATTCTACCACACTAATGTTACAAAAATGACCAACAATTGATATCAAGTAAGCTTAAACATTGCATCAACTTAAAGATGAAAAGTTAGGCTGGATCATTATCTTATCATCAATTTGAAGAGACAGGTTGATATTTCCAACCCTTTTAATATACTAACTCTTTTTATATATAAATAATAAATTGGTTTATTTTATTTTGAAATAAAATTGTTATAAATTTGAATTATATTGTTTGAAATAAGCAAATATAGTATTTGTAATTTAAATTATAAATACTAACTAAGTTTCAAACATTAATTATAACTGAGCACATAAAAATATCAATTATTTCTGGTATTTAATTAGAGACATGATTGATTTAAAAGAGTTAAAAGCCTACAAAAACATTAAAAATAATTAACGATTATATATATATATATATATATATATATATATATATAATTAAAAGTTGAAAAATGTAACTTAAAAAAAGTTGGGTATGGAAAGGTTGATAAAAATGAAAAAAAACAAGTATTTACAAGTTTGGAAAGAAAAAGCGAGAAATGAGACCAATTAACTAAGTCAATCTTGAGGCTTTCGAATATTTTAAATTAGTTGTCTCGTTCTTGATAAATCTTTTAAGTTTACAATTGAAATAAGCAACTTATTAATTTTTGTTTAATTTGAGAAAGTATTATTGATCTTAGTAGTATGAGCGAAACATTGATCAATATTACTGCTAGTGCAAGGTGCAGAACTATTATCACAGTGTTGAAGCATATAAAAGTGTATTTAATGGAAAAAATGAGCTAAAGATTGTTTCATTCATATGAAACATCTTGCTAAGTATTAAAAAAAAAACTAAACAAAAAATTAGGCATCACTAAATTTTGAATATCAAGATAATAAACATATACTTAATTATTAACATTAAATCATTCTTACTTAGTATGCTAGTTTATTTACTCTAATTGTTAGTAAGAGGAAATACTATTTGAAGCAAGGTATGTCTGTGTCGTTGGTGATAATTTTGTTTAATACTTATAAATGAGATAATGCAGTTACATAAAATGAATATAAACTAACATCCCTTCGTGCCATTGAAATCACTGGTACAAATATTTTATAACATCGTTGGTTATTAACGTTGAATTTAAAAATGTTAATATTCGACGTTAAACAATATTTTTGTCTTTTTTTCAAATTTCATAAAACATTAACTATGAACGTATACTATCAACAATAAACATAATAACAAATAACAAACAAGTTCAATCAAACAACAACAAACAAGTTCAATGAAACAACAACAAACAAGTTCAACGAAAAACAACAACAAACAAATTTAACAAATAAGTTTTTCCAAAGGAAAATTAACCTTCAAAAGGTGAATTCGTCAGAATAAAGTGTTTCCACACCAGTGAGAGAGAATCATAATGCGCCTATGAAGGACAAGAACACGAAAATAATCGGTCAAAAGAAACGAAAATTATACATAAAGTAGTTAATTAACATGCATTTGTATCAAATGAAAGATTACATATGATGGTGGTCAAACTTCGTTCGAGAAAAGTTTGAGAAGAGAAGAGGGTCTCGCGCGCTAAGATAAAGGGAATAAATTTTCAATCTCCCACTCAAATTAAAAAGGGGAAACTTTTGGCTGACAAATGATACCTCGAAACTCCCACAAAATTTGACTTATATATATATATATATATATATATAT